CCAACAACAACAGAAAAACCAAAACTGGAAAATCTGGGAAAAAATATCCCAGAAAATCCCTTTAAAATCTCAATAAAATCCTATAAAATCTCGATAAAATCCCATAAAATCCAGGAAAAATCCCGTAAAACCCAGGAATAATGCCAGGGAATTCCCTGGGGTGATCCCAGGGCTGGGAAATTCGGGAATTTTCCCTGGGAATTCGTTCTGTGGGCACTCACTGCTCTGGGAGGAGCTCCGGGGTTTCCCGATGTATTTCAGGATCGGGTTCTGCCTCTGCTCCTTCTCCTTCTTGGAGCTGCTGCTCTGTTGGGAAAAAAAAAATAAAATAAAATAAAAAAAATCTGGGAATGCCCTGGCCCTGATCCCAAAATTTTCCCATCCTAAATCCCAAGTTTTCCACCCTAAATCCCAAATTTCCCATTCCAAACCCCAAATTCCCATCTTAAAATCCCAATTCCCAATTCCCGGATTTCCCATCCCAAATCTTAAATTCCTCCTCAAATTTCAATTTTGGGTCAAGATTCCCAGGATTTGGATCAAAAAAATAATGGAATTGAGGTCAAAAATGATGGAATTTGGGTCAAAAAAATCATGGAATTTGGGTCCAAAACTGGATGGAATTTGGGACAAAAAAACTGTGGGATTTGGGTGGAAATTCCCAGGATTTGGGGGGGAAATTCCCAGGTTGGATTCCTGGGATCTCTCCCTGGAGTTTTCCCAGGAATTCCCACCTTTTTGGCCTTGGGGAAGAAGGGCAGCCACTTGTCCTTATCCAGGATTTTCTCGGCGGCTCCTCCAGGGCTCCGGAATTCCCGGAATTCCCGGGGCCGGATCCCGGCGTGGGCCATGAAGGTGCTGAGGGCAAAGGCCATGGGAGAGCTGGGAGAGAAAATTCCAGAGGTTGGGAATGGTGGGATTCCCAGAATTCCCGAGGTTGGGATTCCCAAAATTCCAGAGGTTGGGATTGCTGGGATTCCCGGAATTCCCAGAAATTCAGGAATGTTCCCAATTCCCTTTTCCCCCCGGGATTCGCTCACCTCCGCTCCTCCTCGTACTTGGACCTGTGGGAAAAAGGAATTCCCTGGATTCCTCCTTTTCCCAATCCCAAATTCCCCGACCCCAAATCCTCATCAATCCCAAATTATCCCAAATTATCCCAAATTCCCAGACCTCAAATGCCAAATCCCCATCCCAAATCCCAGATCCCTAATTCCCAAATCCCAAATTCCCCAATTCTCACAGGATGTCCCCGAGCTGTCCCAAATCCCAAATTCCCAATCCCAAATTCCCAAATCCCCAAATTCTCACAGGATGTCTCCCAGCTGTCCCAGCTGTCCCAATTCCCAATCCCAAATTCCCAAATCCTCACAGGATGTCTCCCAGCTGTCCCAGCTGTCCCAATTCCCATTGGGAATTCCCAAATCCTCACAGGATGTCTCCCAGCTGTCCCAGCTGTCCCCATTCCCATTGGGAATTCCCAAATCCTCACAGGATGTCTCCCAGCTGTCCCAGCTGTCTCTCTGCCAGCGCCTTCTCCCGCTCGCGGCGTTCCCGGGGCTCCCTCTGGCAATTCCCGGTTTCCAGCTCCTGCAGCTCGTTCTCCCCGTACAGGCTGGCCAGACCCAGAGTGCGCTTGGTCCTGGGGGGAAAACACCCCAAAAAAATGGGATTGGGAATTCCCAGAATTCCCAGGAGTCACAGAATTCAGAAAATTCAGGAGTTTTCTGCTTCGTTCTGGGGAAAACCCCCAAAAAACGGGATCAGGAATGCCCAGAATTCCCCAAATTTGGGATTTTCCCACTTAGTTCTGGGGGGAAAACACCCCAAAAAAATGGGATTGGGAATTCCCAGAATTCCCGGAATTCCCAAAATCTGGGATTTTCCTGAGGTTCTGCCCAAAAAAACTGGGATCAGGACGTCCCAGAATTCCCAAAATTAGGGATTTTCCCAAAAAATTGAGATCAGAAGATCCCGAAATTCCCGATTTTCCTGATGTTTTCCCGGGAACAGCGAGGGAAGTGCCGGAATTCCTGGGAATTTCCCGGGGGATTTTCTGGGGAATTTCTGGGAATTTTCTGGGGGATTTCCCGGGGAATTTCCCGGGAATTTTCCCGGGGTTTTCCCCACCTGTACTCCTGGAGCTGCTCCTGGATGTGGGGCAGCAGGAATTCCTGCGCCTGCAGCAGCGCCGGCCGCGCCTCCTCGCCGCTCCGCACCCGCAGCTCTGCAATTCCAGGGAAATTCCCGGATTTTGGGAAGGTCCTGGATGCCCCAGGGGCCACTCCCCAATTTTCTGCAGGTCCAGGGGGAGAAGTTTGGGAATGGGAATTCCCCGGGAATTCAGAACTCACCGATCTCGGCCAGGAGCGGCTCCGGGAGCTTCACACGGAGGGGCTGGAAAAGAGGGAAAATGAATCCCAAAATCCCGGGAATTCCATCCCCAAATCCCGGGAATTCCATCCCAAAATCCATCCCAAAAATCCCGGGAATTCCATCCCAAAATCCTTCCTAAAATCCATCCCCAAATCCCGGTAATTCCATCCCAAAATCCTTCCTAAAATCCATCCCAGAATCCTGGGAATTCCCCCTAAAATCCCAGGAAATCCCTGAGATTTTTCCCAAAATCCCAGAAAATCCTCCCAAAATCCCCAGAATTCCTCCCAAAATCCCAGGAAATCCCTTGAATTGCCCCCAAATCCCAGGAATTCTGTGGGAATTCTGCCCTCACCGCGTTCCTGTCCAGGAAAATATTCCAGATGTCTTTTCCCAGGGCTCGGGAATCTTTGGGGTTGCTGAGCTGGCAGCAAACCTCGGAGCACAGGTGGAAAAGCTGGGAAAAAAAAATTAAAAAAAAAAATGGGAATACACAGCCAGGGATGGGCCAGAATTCCAGGGAAAAGGGAGCAAATCCCAGGATTCACCCCCAGGAATGCTCCTGGAATTCTGGGAGGTGCCAAGAATTGGGAATGGGATCCCAAGAGCAGAAAATCACAGAAATTTTAAGGAAATTCTGGGAATTCTGCTCCATCCATGATCTGGGAAGTGCCAAAATTTGGGAAACGGCCGGGAATTTTTTTTTTTGGGGGGGGGAATTTTTTTGGGGAAATTTTTTGGGGAATTTCTTACCAGAGGAGTGGGGTCAGCCTGGGACAGGAGGAACCTCAGGAACACCCCCAGGTGAGCAGGGCGGGATTTGAGCCTCCCCAAATCCTGGAACACGGAATCGCTCTGGGAATGCACAGAGAGAGGGGAAAAAAATGGGAAAAGTTGGGAAAAAAGTTGGGAAAAGTTGGGATTTGGGATGGGGTTGATCCCTGAAAAATCCCCAAAGAAAGCAGAGCAGGGAATGCTGGAATTGTTTGGGATGGGAAAAAAATCCCTTCAAAAATCCCACCAGGAATTCCAAAAACCCCCAAATCCCACCTGGAATTCCCAAAATTCCCACCAAGACTTCCCAAAAAATCCCTCAATTCTCCCCCCAAAATCCCACCAGGAATTCCCAAAAATCCCACCAGGAATTCCCACCAGGAACTCCCAAAATTCCCCCCTCAAAACCCCCCCCAGGTATTCCCAAATTCCCCCAAATTCCCATTTTTCCCATTTTCCCACCTCGTTGCTGGCGTATCCCTGCTCACAATCCTCCTCAGGGCCGATGATTTGGGGTCTCCCTGATCCCTATCCCCCCCCCCAAAAAAAAACCAGGATCAAACTTTGGGAACAGCTCTGGGGAATTCCAGGAATTTTTCCTGGAATTTTTCCCAGATTTATTTTATTTTTCTGGGGGAATTTCCAGCCCCACCTGATCCTTGGGCGAGCTCCGGGGGCTGCAGGGTTGGGAAATTCCCGAATTCCGAGCCTGGGATGGGAAATTTGGGATCAGAATTTTTGGGGGAAATTCCCAAAAATTCCTTGGAATTCTCAAAGGGAAATTTCCAGACAAGGGGGGGGAAATTCTTGGAGATTCCCAAATTTTTGGGGGGAACTTTGGGGGAAGTTTTTTCACCTCTCTTGGAATTTTCTTTTCATCCTTTTCCCAAATTTTTCCCGGAATTTTCACCCCCTTTTCCTGAGTTTTTCCCTCCCTTTTCCCGGTTTTCCCCCGGATTTTTCCTGGACTTTTCCTGGATTTTTCCCCCTCACCTCTGTGGACTCCAGCCCTGGTTCCCCATCCTGGGAATCCATGGAAAATCGTCCTGGGAGCCGCGGGGATCCCGACCCCGAGCCCGGGAGGCTCCGGAAAAATTCTCCTTCCACTGCCCGGAACCCCAAATCCTGGGAAAAGGGGAAAAATGGGAATGGGGGAATTCCCTGGGCAGGAATTGCCAGGAAATGAAGATTTGGGATCATGGAAAACCTGGGAATGGGGGAATTCCAGGAATTCCCAATGTGGGAATTCCCAGAAAATGAAGATTTGGGGTCAGGGATAACCTGGGAATGGGGGAATTCCGGGAATTCCTAACGTGGGAATTCCCAAAAAATGAAGATCTAGGATTGTGGAAAAGCCAGGAATGGGGGAATCCTGGGAATTCCCAGTGCAGGAATTCCCAGGAAATTCAGCTTTGAGGAAACAAAGGGACCAAAATCCCTCCGCTCCCACAATTCCCTCGGTGTTTTTTTTTGGGGAAAAACCGAAATTCTGGGATTCCCAGTGCTCTGAAAAGATGGGGAACGCCTGAGGGATGATCCCAGGATGGATTCCCGGTTTACCGAGGCCCCCTGGGATTCCTGCAGGATTTTCAGCTGCAGTTGGCTCACGCGGCGCCGAGCTCCCTCCAGCTGCTCCTCCACGGCCGCGCCCGGGTGGCGCTGCAGCAGCTCCTGGAAACGCTGCAAGGAACAATTCCCAGCCACGATCATCCCAAATCCCCAGAATCCCAAAAATCCCAGCCTGACACTCAGGGGTGGGGCTGCACGGCTTTCTCTGGGGTTACATGGGGATTTTCGGGGATTTTTTGGGATTTTTCTGGGATTTTATTGGAATTTTTTCTGGGATTTTTGGGTTTTTTTTCCTGGGATCTTCCCCTTTCTGGGAAGAAGGTGGGAAAAGGGGGAAAAAAGGGAAAAAAGGAAGAAAAGAGAGGAAAACAGAGAAACAAGTCGGAAAAGCTGGGACTGAGGGAGGGAAAAGGGGGGAAAAAGTGGGAAAAGGTGGGGAAAAAAGGAAAAAAGTGGGAAAAGAGAAGAAAAGGGGAAAGTAGGAAAAAAATGGGAAATGAGGTGGAAAAAAGGGAAAACAGTGGGAGAAGAGGAAAAAAGTTGGAAATGAGGGGAGAAAAGTGGGAAAAAAGTGGAAAAAAGGAGAAAAAAAGGGGGAAAAGTGGGAAAGAAGTGGGGAAAAATGGGAAAAGTGGGGAAAAAATGGGAAAAGAGAGGAAAAGTGGGGAAAAGCCAGAAAAAAAAAAGGGAAATGAAGGGAGAAAAGTGGAAAAAAGCGGAAAAGAGGGAGAAAATAGGGGGGGAAGTGGGAAAAGGTGGGAAAGAGGTGGGAAAAAATGGGAACAAAGTAGGGAAAAAAGTGGGGAAAATGGGAAAAAAGTGAGGAAAAATGGGAAAAAGTGGGGAAAAGCAGGGAAAAGCAGGAAAAAGCAGGGAAAAGTGTTCAAAGGGTCAAAGGGGTGGTGGGGGTACCTGTAGCTCGGCCTCCTCCTGGCGCAGCATGTTCCGCAGGATCTGCGCCGCGTGCCTCTGCACCTCGGGGTCCTGACAGCCCCGGGAAACGGGAAAACAACGTGGGGAAACCACGGGAAAAACGGGAATATAATGGGAATAATGGGGATGGGAAATGTGGGGAAACCACGGGAAAAATGGGGAATATAATGGGAATAATGGGGATGGGAAATGTGGGGAAACCACGGGAATAACGGGAATATAATGGGGAAAATGGGGATGGGAAATGTGGGGAAACCACGGGAAAAATGGGGAATATAATGGGAATAATGGGAATGGGAAATGTGGGGAATAATGGGAATGGGAACCATGGGGAAATCATGGGGAATAACAGGAAAAATGGGAATACTGGGAATGGGAAGAGGAATGAGCCTAGGGAGGGGTTGGGATCTCCTCAGGCAATTCTGGGATCCCCTGGGGGAGTTCTGGTATTCCCTCTGGAATTCGGGGATCCCCTCTGGAATTTTGGGATCCCCTCTGGAATTCTGGCTCACCTGCAGGGGCCTGGGCTCGGTGATGGAATCTGGGGTTTCTCTGATGGAATTTGGGGTTTCTCTGATGGAATCTGGGGTTTCTCTGATGGAATTTGGGGTTTCTCTGATGGAATTTGGGGTTTCTCTGATGGAATTTGGGGTTTCTCTGATGGAATCTGGGGTTTCTCTGATGGAATCTGGGGTTTTCTGATGGAATTTGGGGTTTCTCTGAGGCAATTCTGGCTCACCTGCAGGGGCCTGGGCTCGGTGATGGAATTTGGGGTTTCCCTGATGGAATCTGGGGTTTCTCTGATGGAATTTGGGGTTTCCCTGATGGAATTTGGGGTTTCCCTGAGGCAATTCTGGCTCACCTGCAGGGGCCTGGGCTCGGTGATGCGCTGGGGGGGCCCTTGGGGACATCCCGGGGGTTCTGGCTCCTGCTGTGACCCCGAAATTCCCACGGATCCAGGGGGGGATCCCAGCAGGGTCAGGGCCACGTAGGCACCAGCTGGGGAAAGAAAACAACAAAGGGAATGTCAGGAGAAATTCCAGGAAAAGTTTGGGATAAAGGGGAGTCACAGGGAAAAGCTGACGTGAAAAAATTCCAGGAAAAAAAAAATCAGAGTGAGGGGGATTTATGCTGGAAAAATCTGGGATTCCACAAAAAAAAAAAAAAAAAAAAAAAAAGGGGAGTCACAGGGAAAAGTTGACGTGAAAAAATTCCAGGAAAAAAAATCAGAGTGAGGGGGATTTATGCTGGAAAAATCTGAGATTCCACAAAAAAAAAAAAAAAAAAAAAAAGGGAAAAGGCAGTGAAAAGGATTTTCAGGAGAAATTTCCAGGGAAAAGAAAAAATTGAGGGAAAATTCCCAGGAGAAATAGGAGTGAGAAGGACTTTCAGGAAACACTTGGGAAAAGAGGTGAGAAAAACTTCCAGGAGAGCAAATTTACAAGAAAAAATTCCCAGAAAAAATTGGAGTAAGAAGGATTTCCTGGAAAATTTTACAAGAAAAAAATCCCAGGGGAAATGGGAGTGAGAAGGATTTCCAGGAAAAATCTGGGATGAGGAATAAGAAAGATTTCCTGAAAAAAAAAGTGGGAAAAAGGGGTGGGAACAAGTCCAGACTCCACTGAAATTCCCAACTCTGCTTTTTGCCATGGAATGGGAAGAGAATTCCCAGGAATTCCAGCCCTGTACTCACACTTGATCAACTTCACCACTTCCAGGTGGGAGCTGTTGGTCACCATTGTTCCATTCACCTGGAAAAGCAGGGAAAAGGGGCTGGGGAAAAAAAAAAAAAGGGAATTTCCTTGGGAATTTTGGGAAGCGGGATTTGGGAACACTGACCTTGACGATCCGGTCGCCCTCCTGCACCCCGGCCCTCATGGCAGCCCCACCTGGATACAGGGAAGAGTCAGGAAAAAAAGAAAAAAAAAAAATCCCAAATTTCCTCTGGAATATTCCATAGGGATTTTTCCATTCCCTCAACCCCATCCCATCCAATCCCAGTGCACCCAAACTGGGATAATTTCCCCATTTTTCCCACATTTTCCCTCCAATTCGCCAATGTTTTCCTCAGTTTTCCCAGTTTTTTTTCCCCTCCCCCCCCATTTTCTGTATTTCCTCCTGCATTTTCTCTATTTTCCTACATTTTCCTGCTGTTTTCCCATTCTCCCACCATTTTCCTCACCTTTCTCCCATTTCCTCCCATTTCCCCCATTTTCTCTATTTTCCCTCCACCTCCCCCACATTTTCTCCCTTTTCCGCCCATTATTCTCCATTTTCTGCCCATTTTCCCCTTTTTTCTCCATTTCCCCTCAGATTTTCCTCACGTTCCCGCCATTTTCTCCATTTCCCCCTCACGTTCCCGCCATTTTCCCCCTCACGTTCCCGCCATTTTCTCCCCATTTTCCCCCTCACGTTCCCCCCGTTTCCCCCTCACGTTCCCCGCATTTTCCTCCTCCCCTTTCCCCCTCATGCTCCCCCCATTTTCTCCCCTCACGCTCCCACCATTTTCTCCCCGTTTTTCTCCGTTTCCCCCCCATGTTCTCCCCAAGGCTGAAGCAGGGGATAGATGAGGGGACCCCCGGGCCCCATGTCCGTCCCCGTGTCCCCACCCGGCCGCACGGACTGCACGAGCACGACGCGGTCGCCGCTGACGGTGAAGCCGAAGCCATGCTGGTCCCGCTGGATGATGACACAGCGCTGCACCAGCCCTGCGGACACGGGACGGGGACAGCGACAGACACAGGGACAGACACAGGTACAGACAGACACAGGGACACAGGGGACAGCGACAGACAGACACGGGGACACAGGGGACAGCGACAGACAGACAAAGGGACACAGGGGACAGCGACAGACGGACACAGGGACAGGGACACAGGGGACAGACAGACACAGGGACACAGGGACAGACAGACATAGGGACAGGAGGGAATGAGGCTCTGGAGTTTGGGTTTGGCTCCAGGGGCTGCGAGGCCTCATGGTCATCGTCCACCCCTGACCACCAGCTCTGGTGGCCACCCCTGACCTCGTGGCCATTGTCCACCCCTGACCACCAGCTCTGGTGGTCACTCCTGACTCCAGACTCCCCAGGCCCGAATTTCCCCTTGTGGGAGCCCAAATCCCAACACTCCAAAGGCATGGAAAGATCCAGAGACCCACCCCTGACCCTGAGTGCCCACAGATTGCCCATTCCCAGATTCCCACCTGTGGATTCCGAGGTGTCCGAGGGCTGCCGCTGGTGGCCGGGGGACCTTCGCTCCGAAGGGGAATCACCCAGGGAAGAGGAGAGGCTGCTCAACCTGGACATTCGGGAATTTGGGAATTTGGGAATGGCCAGAGATGACCCCTGGGCACTCCCAGGACAGCTGGACACGCTCTCTGGCCACTCTGGAAAATCCCAATCCCGAGGAATTCCAGGAATTCCCTCCAGGGATGGGGATCCAGCCCTCCCTGAGCCCCTTCCCAACCCTTTTTCCATGGAAAAATCATCCCAAATTTCCCACCCTGACCCAGCTCGAGGCCGTTCCCTCTGGTCCTGTCCCATTCCCTGGGATCAGATCCCAAAATTCCCAGGGAAGATCCCAAAATTCCCCTTTTTCTCCAGCCTGAGCCCCTCCAGGAGGAAAAAAAAAAAAAAAAAATCCCTGTAGGATTTTCCTGCTCCTTTTCCAGCCCCATTCCCAATTTCCCATCCCCTTTTTTCCACAGGAGGCCTCAGACCTGGACACTGCCCTGGACATTCCCAGCCAATCTGGAGGAAAATCAGGATTAACCCTCGGGATTATCCCACGGCCAAACCCAGGTCAGCCTTTGTTATCCACAAAAAAAAAATATATATATATATTTTTTTTTTTTCCCCATCTCAAAACCCCTAAATTTTGGGATTTGTGGCATTCCCAAGACGTTTTTCCTTAAAAGCCAAAGTTCCAGGAATTTCCAAAATCCCAGCCAGGGGTGATCCAAAGGTATCCAGAGGCTTTTTCTGCCCCTCTGAAGCAGCTGGGGCTTAACAAGGCTATAAAAAAGTCATTTAATTCGGATTAATTAAAGCTCCTTAATTGCCTTAGGGCGGCCGAGCCACGGCAATTCCCACAATTCCCACAATTCCCGTTCCAGTGGCACCTCCAGAGGGATCCCAGCCCTTCTCCCTCCTCAAAAATTCCAAATTCCCAAAAAAATTTAAGCTCGAAATGGGCAAAATTGACCAAAATTGACCCCAAATCCCAAATTCCACAGCTCCCAGAAAATCCTGGATTTTGGGGGGATTCCCAGGGAAATGTTGGATCTCTTTCCCAGTTTTCTGTGGGATTTTCCAGAGAGAAATTCCAAATTTATTTTGGGAAGGAACACAGTGGTCAGAAATGTTGGAAAAGGAGAATTTTTCCCCCATTTTCCCTGCCTTTAAACCCAGATTTTCGTGGATTTTCCAGCTGGGAATTCCAAACTCATTTTGGGAAGGAATTTCCACTGCCTGGAGCAATCCCAAACCTTTGGAAAATTCGGATTTTTCCCTTTTTTTTCTGCTTTTTTCCCTCCTGGCTCCATCCCAAGGTTTCCCTGGGGCAGTTCCCGAGGGATGGGGGAGGAATTCCCTGGAATTTGCACATCCCAAAGAATTCCAGGATCATTTTCCATCCATCCCCAGACAGAGAGGGGGGAAGTGGAGGAATCCAAATATTTTTATTTTATTCCTCTTTTTTTCCAGCTGGAATTCTTTCCTTCTCACCCCCAGATTCCCAGGGATGTGGATATGGAACAATTCCCATTTCCTGGATTTATTTCCCTTCCCTTTTCCCAGTTTTTCTGGGGTGTTTTCCTGATTTTTTTTTCCCCAATCTTATTCCCTTTTATTTTCCTTTTACTTCCACCCAATTCCAAAGGATTTTTGGGAATTTTCACGCAGCTTCTGGCTCTTCCCAAAATTAATTCCCTTTTCTGGAGCTGTGGAAAAAAGGGGGGGAAAAAAAAGGAAAAAAAGCTCCTGATCTGGGATAATTCTGGGAAATTCCAGCTGGGATTGATCCCAGTCATTCCTCATTCCTTTCACCTGAAAAATCCCATGGGAAAAACCAGGGTGAAAAGCAGGAAAAGCAGGGGGGGAAAAAATCCCATTTTCCAAAGTTTCTGAGCACTGAATTCCCCCCCACAAGGAAATCTGGAATTCCAGGAGCAGCCTGGAGGATTTTTCCCATAAAATTCCCAAATTTTTATGGAGCAGAATTTTGGGAATATTGAATCTCAAACTTTCCCAAGCTTTTCCCAATCCCTTCTGCTCATTCCTAATTTTTTTTTTTGGGGGGGGAGATCTCATCCCTTTGGGAATCTCCCACAGGAGCCAGAATTCCCAAAAATCCAAAATTTTTAATGGAAACAACCCCAAATTCCCAAATTATTTTCCCACAGGGAAAAATCAGAAAATCAGGAATGTGGGAACAGCTTTGATTCCCAAATTAATAAATTAATTGGGAATCTCAGGGAAATTTTTTTGTTGTTGTTGTTTTCCCCCCTCCCACATTCTGGGAATGTTCTGGGAGGAATTTTGGGAGTTTGGATCCCGCTGGAATTTCTCCTCGAATTTGCAACATTTGGTTCCCTCCCTGCTGGGGGCTGTGGCTCTGCTGCTTTCCCTGGAAAAACACCAGGAAAATCATGGAGAGATGCGAGAAAAATAGAATTTTTTCCCATTTTTCCTGGGTTTTAGTCCCATTTTTCCTGGTTTTTTTTCTTTGATTTTTTTCCCCATTTTCCCTGGATTTTTTCCCCCCATTTTTCCTGGATTTTCCCCCATTTTTCTGGGGATTTTCCCCCCACTTTTCCTGGGGATTTTTTTCCCACTTTTCCTGCTTTAAACCCTGATTTATCCCAGGTTTGTGTGGGATTTTCCAGCTGGGAATCCCAAAGACAAGAAGGGAGCCCAAATATTAGAAAATGGGAATTTTTTTCTGGTTTTTTTTTGGGGAAATCTCCCCAGGAATTGTCCAGGAAGCTGCTCCCAATTGCAGCTCCGAGAATTCCCAGCAGGGTAATGATTAACAGGAAGCCACTCCTGGAAAAGTGGAAGTGGCAGAGCTGGTTTGGCTGGGAATTCTGGATCCTGGGAATTCCCTAGCCCGGGGGGATCCTTTTTCCCCATCCCCAAAATTCCCCCTGGGAAATGGAATCCACGGAATTCTGTGCCTGGGAGGGATCCTCAAATTCCTGGGATGAGGGAGGGAAAATTTTCTCAATCCCAAGGGGGTCCAGGATGGAACTGGGCACTCACAGAGATGGGGAATTCATGGAATAATCTGGGATAAGGATCCAGGATTTATCCCATAAATCCCAAATAAATCAGCACAGGGAATTCTGGAATAATTTGGGATGGAAAAAATCCTTAAATCCCAAAAAACCGCAATCCCTGGGACATTCCCACCATCTGATCCCAATCCAGGAATCCTCAGCTGAATTCCTGAATTTCTCCCAGAAAAACCTCCAGGGTTTTCCAAGGGTTTATCCCAGATAGAATTCTCAAATTAATCCCCCCCAAAAATGAGATTTTCCCAGGGTTTACACCACACAAAATTCCTGAAATCAACCCCAAAAACAAGCGGGATTTTCCAAGGGTTTTACCTACACAAAATTACCAAATTTCCCCCCAAAGCCAGCAGGATTTTCCAAGGGTTTATCCCACACGAAATTCCCCAATTTTTGCTTTAAATGGAACAAAATAAACCAGGATAAAGCGAATTCTCAGCGGTGGATACTGGAAATATCCCAAAAATCAGAACGGTTTGGGATATTCCCCCCCTCCAACTCCCCAAATCCCAGAATTTTATCCCAAAATGCTGCAGGGATGGGCTGGGGGCTCCACCCCGACCCAAACCCCATCCCTGGAACCCCCAGAGACAAAAAAATCCCAGATTTTAACCCCAAAATCCCAAAGTTTCTCTCCAAATTGCTGATTTTCCCTCGGGAGAGGCTGTGAGGGCTCCAGACCGGGCTGAGCCCCCTCCCTGAACCCCCAGAGCCCCAAAATCCCAGAATTTCACCCCAAAACCACAGAATTTCACCCCAAATCACTGCACAGACGGGGTGTGGGCTGATTTTCCCTCCTCTAAGCCCCAAAATCCCAGAATTTCACCCCAAATCGCAGCTTTTCCCCTGAGGAATGAGCTGAGGGCTCCAGAACTGGCTGAGCTCCCTCCTTGAATCCCCAGAGCCCCAAAATCCCGGAATTTCACCCCAAAACTCTGAGGGACGGGGTGGGGGGTCAGGGACGAGACGAGCCCCCTCCTCTAAGCCCCAAAATCCCAGAATTTCATCCCAAAATCCCAGAATTTCACCCCAAATCACTGCAGGGACAGGGTGGGGAGTCCGGGACGAGCTGAGCTCGTTTTTCCCCAAGCCCCCAGATCCCCAAAATCCCCGAATTTCACCCCAAATCTCCGCTTTTTCCCCCGAGGAATGGGGTGAGGGCTCCAGGACGAGCTGAGCCCCCTCCCCAAACCCCCCAAACCCCAGAGTTTTACCCCAAATCCCTGCTTTTCCACCAAAACCTCAGAATTTCCCCTCAAATCGCCGCTTTTCCCCCGAGGATTGCCGTGAGGGCTCCACACCGAGCCGAGCCCCCTCCCTGAACCCGCAGACACCCAAAACCTCAAAATTTCACCACAAAACCTCCAAAATCTCAGCGTTTCACCCCAAAACCTCAGAATTTCACCCCAAATCGCCGCTTTTCCCCCGAGGATTGCCGTGAGGGCTCCACACCGAGCCGAGCCCCCTCCCCGACCCCCCCACCCCCAAAATCTCAGACTTTCCCCCCAAATCCCCATTTCCCCCCCGCTCCCTTCCCCTCACGGAACGGGGCGGGGGCTCCACCCCGAGCCAAACCCCCTCCCCTTTTTTTTTTTTTTTTTTTTTCCCCTTTTTTCCCTTAAATCTCCCCAAATCTCCTCTCTTTGCCGCGCTCATTTCGGGGGTCTCCCCTCAGGGCCGTACCTGTCCGGGGCCTGCGGAGGCCTCACGCTCATGGTGGAGGTTCGCTCTCTCTGTCAGGGCTCTGCCCGGAGCCGCCGCCCCGCTCCGGTCGCCCCCGCCACCATCCCCGCTCCCGGTGGCTCCGGTGGCCTCGGGGGGCCCCGAGAGACCCCCCCGCCCACCCCCCGGCCCCCCAGACACCCCCCCAAGGTGCGGTTCGGTGCCGGCCCGGCTGTGGGGGCTGCCCCCGGTTCCGCCTCGGGGGCCGGGCTGAGGGAGAGGCCTGGAGGCCGCTCCCAATCCCCGGGCTCGCCCGGCCCCCCTGGCCGGGCACGGCGGGGCAGCGCCCGCGGGGGCGGGGGGACGGCGGGGACACCGGGTGAGGGGGGAGCCAGGAGTGACCTCGGGCTGTGGGGGACACCGGGGACGGTGAGGGTTTGAGGGGACACAGAGTGACCTCGGGCTGTGGGGGACACTGGGGACAGGGGGGACACAGAGTGACCTGGAGGTGTGGGGGGACACCGGGGACACAGAGTGACCTGGGGGTGTGGGGGACACCGGGGACGGTGAGGGTTTGAGGGGACACAGAGTGACCTCGGGCTGTGGGGGACACCGGGGACAGGGGGACACAGAGTGACCTCGAGCTGTGGGGGACACGGGGGACACAGAGTGGCCTCGGGGTGTGGGGGGACACTGGGGACAGTGAGGGTTTGAGGGGACACAGAGTGAGCTCGGGCTGTGGGGGACAAGGGACAATGTGCATTTGAAAGGACACAGTGAGCTGGGGGTGTGAGGGGACAAGGGACAGGGTGGATTTGAGGAGGACACGATGTCCTGGGGATGTGCGGGATAACGGGGACAGTGAGGATTTGGGGACACCCACAAGGACATTGAGGATTTGAGGGGGACATGGGGACAGTGAGGATTTGGGGACACTCACAGGGATAGTGAGAATTTGGGGACATGGGGACAATGAGGATTTGGGGACACCCACGGGGACAGTGAGGATTTGGGGACAATGAGGATTTGGGGACAGCCAGATCGGGGCCGCCACCCCCTGAATGTCCCCTCTGTCCCCAGAGCCGCCCCCTCTGCTCCCGGAGAATTCCTGGCGTGGAAAACACGGAAAAGCGAAAATGAAAATGAACATTCCCGGGATCTCGGGCAATGAGGAAGTGAGCGGCGGCTGCTCCGTCCCATCCCCCAAACCCCCCAAAATCCAAACCCCAAACCCCAAATCCTACACTCTCCAAATCCCAAAACCCCCAAATCCCAAACCTCAAACCCCCCAAACCCCAAATCCCCCAGAATCCAAACTGCAAATCCCCCAAACCCTAAATCTCAAACCCCAAACCTCCCAAAATCCAAACCCCAAACCCTAAATCCCAAATCTCAAATCCCCCAAAATCCCAAACCCCAAATTCCACACTCAAATCCCAAATCTCAAATCCCACAAAATCCAAACCCCAAATCCCCCAAACCCCACACCCCCAAGTCTCAAATCCCCCAAAATCCAAACCCCAAAATCCAAACCCCAAATCCCCACAATCCAAACCCCACAATCCCTCTGCCCCCTTTGGCCACAGCAGATTTTGGGATGTCTCCCCCCTGTCCCCATCCCAATATCCCAAAATTCCCTCGGCACATCCCACATTTGGGATTTTGGGATCTGAGCCCCATCCTAATCCTCACATTTTCCCAAAAAAAAAAAAATCCTCGGGATTTCCCCAAATCCCCTTTGGAGCCAGAGTTGGGGGGGGGAAATTGGGGAAAAAATTGGGAATATTTGGGAAAATGGAGCCCAGGCTGATCCCATTTGGAGCCAATCCTGGATCCCAAAATTTGGGAAAAACTTGGAAAACCCCAAACAAACAAAACCCCAAAAACCTCGAGAACCTCGGGAATTTCTGGGATCCAGGGCCTTGGGAAAATCAGAATTTTTGGGATCCAGGAGATCCCTGGATGCTCCTTCCCATAAAAACTTTGGGATAATGGAACCCAAATTCAGAAAAAAAACCCCAACAAAACAACATAAAACCCAAATCCCAAAAGCAGAAACTCCAGAATTTTGGGAATTTTTGGGATCCAGGGAATTCCTGGATGCTCCTTGCCAAAACTTTGGATTTTTTCCGCCTCCCAAATCCATAAAAAACCTCCCAAAATTCCCCAAAAAAACCCAGCGGCGCCTCTCTGTTAAAAGGTTTTTATTTAACGTTTTGAATTCGAGGTAAAATACTTTTATTTTTCAGGTTTTTTTTTTTTTTTCCTTTTTTTCCATTTTTTTTTTTCAACTTCCATAACAAAATATGGAGCTATGGGATACCCCTGGAAAAAAATATGTATATTATCCATAAATTTCTCTAGCATTCCATCATATATATATATAATATATATATGCAACCCTTTTTTTTTTTAAATCTGATTTTTTTTAATAGAAATCGGAATTATTTTTTTTTAAAGGCACAAATTTCGGATTTTTTGTCTTTTTTTTTTTTTGTCGGTTTTTTTTTTGTTTTTTTTTTGCCCCTCTACTTTACACCCTATGTACAAAGCCACGCTCCCAATCCCAAAAAATTCCATCAATTTTTCCCGATGGATTCCTGCTGGATTCTCACCGGGGAGAGTTCAAATCCCTCGAAAGAAAATAAAATAAAATAAAAGGGTTTTTTTTTAACCCTTTCCAAAAAAAAAAAAAAGCGTAAATATCAGTTTAAAAAGCGCTAAAAAAATCAAAGTTTTTTCCGGGAAAATCCAAAATTTTCCCGGATTTTTTTTTGATGATTCCAACCGAGAGAAAATTCCTGGTTTTTATTTTGTTTTCAACCCCACCAGGACACGATAAAACAGAAAGAAACCAACGGAAAAAACCAGCTTAAAATAATAAAAAAACTCAACATAATTATGGAATAAATAAAAAAATCCGGGACAACCCCATTAATGCTGTTGGATTTTTTTTTTCCTCCTTTTCCTCTTTTTTTTTTTTTTGGGAAATTCCCAAAAAAATTCCCCACCCTTTTTATTTTTAGGGGGGGTT